ATCAGAATCTTTGTTGCTTCGCTTGCTTTCCCTTTTCTGTGGAGCAAATTAGTGTGCGTAAGAAAAAGGACTTTACTGAGGTAAAAATCCAAACTCCAAACTGCCTCGGATCTCTTACCTGACGAGAACGTGCATGAAGAGACCGACGATCAAGAAAAAGAGCGACAGTCCACAACCGATTGAAGTGATGTAGGTCAGAGAATTAACATCAGAAGCGCTAATGTTTGCAGGTGGAGGTGACTAGGTTCAAATAGTTATGTGTCAGTATGTGCTGTAAAAAAATCATTTCTTATTTCCTGTACAGCTGTCTTACCATGAGTATGGCAAAAAACGTTAGATGTGTGCACTGGCAGGTGATGCTGTTATTGGTCTCCAGTGTTTGACAGCCATCTGTGATCCAGAGTGATTTCCCTGTTGGACAGCAGTAATACAAAGAAGTAACTGTTAAAGACAGACTTTATCACAGTAATCAGTGTGTGTGCAAAATGTGAGTGAACACTTCAAAGGTCTCTGATTCCTGTGGTTTTCATATTAAAATAAGATATTAAAATAAGATATATATAGAGAGAGATCTATTTGTTTTTTTTTTTTACCATTTGCATCTTTGCTGTTTCCATCCCAAGACACGCAAGAAGCATTCGCTCCTTTCTTTATCAAAATAGAAAATGAAAATCAGAATAAGTTTTCCTCTGAACTTAAAAATGATCATTATTTCTGTTATGACATCACACTTACCTTGTCCACATTACTGTACTGAATCTCGATGGGTTGTGAAAGGTTTTGTATTTTTGCCCCCATTTCTATTCCCACTATCTCACTGTTTAAATAGTATTTACTGCTGTCATCCTGTTAAGATTAAAACATTGTTAATAGATCAGGTTTGGTCAATATGTTTATACATATGAAAAAGTAAGTTATTAGTTGAGCTGTACTATTACCGCATGCATTTCTGGAAACAACAGAATTCCAAGAAATGATCCATTTCTCTCCACCGCCATTTTACTGGCCTCTTTAGGAATTTTCATTAAACGAAATGAGCCTGTAAAATTGCTGTTTCCTCCTTTAACAATCTTTCAAAATGAGAAATGTTTATCAGCAAAAAATGTATAAAATAATGATGTCATGCACATGTATTATACAAATTAAAACTAATATATGCGAATTAGCATTAAAGTATCTTTTGTATTTCATCAGAATGTTCAATAAACACAGTAATTTTCACAGAACTCAAAAATTTAAATTTTCTGGCAATTATTCCATGCCTCAGACTTTAGAGAGTTAGAAATCCACAGTCTTAAAATTGTGTCACACTCTTTTATCAAACACCTTACCATCACGCCAGCGTTTTCTGTGAAGGCAAAGTTCAGGTTGGCTTGAATTTCCTGGGAGAGTTT